TTTCACATAACTCCAACTACTAACCACTATAGTAGAAACAGCGACTAAATATGCAAATAAGTCTCTGCACGCACGGGCGAGTGCTTGCGCTGTCTTTTCAGTCATTCTTGGGAACAAAATGCAGGCAAAAGTCATAGAGAACAATAGAGTGCAGTCAATAAATGAGGGATTCAAAAAGGTTATGGAGAAAACATGATAACCTTTGCCTGTCAAAGAGTACCCCCTCCCCGCTTCCGCCGCTCATGATTATGTCTAAACACTACATATATCACATATGGGATTTTGCGTTTAATTTGATATGTTTATTGTTGTATTTTCAAGACTGAATACAATGTACCTACAGCTAACAAAACAGCCAAATTGCGTTAAGTCTCAATCTTTTTTTTAAACTTTTTTCAATCTGTTTCGTCTTCACTTTCAAATCTATTCAAAAATGTATCAATTCTGTCCATCATTTTCATGGCCTTTGAACACATTTCGGTGTGCGCCTTGTTTGCAGCCATCGACTTTCCTTTAGATTTCTTCCTCTTCTTACATTTTCCCACTGCGGCATCCTGTGACGAGGCTGGCTCTTTTACAGCAGAGTTGGCTTGSACTGTGATTTCTTCTTCCTCCTCTTCCTCGGAATCATCATCCAGATTTGCGWAACTGAACTTCGCCTTTGCTCTTTCTTCTGGACTGCTTTTAGTTGAATATCTTGTCTTAGCCTCTAAGATGGTCTGGGACATTCGGACCGATTGCGTAGCGGATGTGTGATCCTGTTGATTTGGAACTCTCTGAGCCACCGCAACATTTTGGCTTACGATTCGGCGAATCCTTTTAATGATAGCCTCTCGTGCTGTACTTGAATAATACTCTTTTATATTTCTATTACCACGAACATTAATGCGCTGCTTGACGTGTTGGAGTATCTCATCCCACCCTGAAAATATTGCGTAAGTCTCAAGTACAAYTACTCGTTCTTYCTCTGAAATAGGTAAACGTCTAGATTTCTTGGCTGATGGAACTACATAAGAAAAAGCAAGACGATCTTTAATTATCCATCGACCATAGRTAGCTTTGCTACTTATATTATAGCAAAACGTACCTGAATTCTGACTCACTGGTGGTTGATGTTGGACCGTTTCAAGTTCTTCGAATGGTCGCCAGAATTRTGCCATTTTACCATTTGAAAAAGCTTACATTATGACTGAATGGTTATCGGCTCCTTTATAGCAATATTTAACAAAAGGCAACCTAAAACTTTAGTCTAACAAAAGAGTCTTGCTGGAATGATGACTCTATCTTTATTTTAACAAACTTAAGCCTAACGATTTTCAATTCTTCTGTAAAAAGGGGAGGTTCCAGCTTTGCAAATAAAATAAACATTTCAGATAAAAAAGGGAAAGAACAATACTCTTTYCTTGTGGTGCGAAGTCCAGTTACGTAATCCCATTTATTTCATTGTCATTACAGTGAACGCAACTAAAGCGCTTTCTATTGTCTAATCGCTACTATTTTGCACAATTTACTCTACTGCATGCATGAGCTGAAACGAAATTTAATTGCATGCTTTTAGTAAGATATCTTTAATCTTTTGTTCATCAGTTATTGTTTAATTATGCACATTTTTAATGTGTAGTGGTTTTTTTTTTTTGCGTTTCCTTTGGGGACAAATTAATACTATGCATTAATTAAACCTGTCATATATAAAAAGACCATGGAAATATGAATATTACTGCTCGATATTTCAATATGCCGATTCCCGTTCATCAGTTCGTTGCTACAATTGGAGCTTTCCTAACTTTGTTRGTGCAACTTCCTCCAATAACTGCTAACAACTTCAACCAACTGCAGAACTTCATACGGATGTTGGTTCCCATTATAATGCTGCTATCATCACTTCCAAATGCTCCTCCATCGATCGGCCGCATTATGCAACGTCTTGATACAGGATTCTGTGGCTTCCAGTTTCAAGGAAAAAATGTTTTTGATGATATTAAAAACCAAAGGTACCCATTTTGGTTCAATACCGGAGAGCTTCCTGAAACTATGTTCGACATATTCACCAAGGTCTCTGCAAATATGTCACGCGTAAACAGGAGGGGAGGGCAAAGACAAAGGAAAAAGAATTCCAAACTTAACAACCTAAACAAAGTTTKACTGACCTTTCTTTGGCTTAGAAAATATCCTTGTGCAGACACTCTTGCTTTATGGTTTGATGTGAGTCCATCTACAATTACAAGTATAATCCATAGTGTCATCCCAATTTTATGGCGATATTTCCACGATCAAGTATCATGGCCAAGTTTGGCAGAATGGAACGCTTTGCGGGGAAACTGGCGTTTTTTTCCTGATGCAGTTGGGTGCATCGATGGTACGCCACATGAAATTTACAGACCTGAAGCCGAACCCCAGCAAGACGTTTTTAGTGGTCACCGTCATTACCATCTAATGAACACCCAGCTTATCGTGGATAATCTTGGTAACATTGTTTTTCTACAGGCTGGTTTCCTTGGTTCAATTAATGATGCTGGCAATTATAACTTAATGGAGAGAATTGGACYAGGAACGAATTATGATATGCCCCGCAATGCTGTGCTTTTGGCAGACAAGGGATATGGGAACGTTCCTCCATTGCTAACACCTTTTCGTGCAGCTCAGATAAGACGACTTCCAAGGAACCAACAACGATTAGCACGAAGATTCAACCATCGACTTTCTAGATGTCGTATTATTGTTGAGCACACATTCAAACATGTAAAAACATATCGTTCTATAGGAAGCGTATGGCGCCATCCGAGATGGTT